CAACGAATGTTCACTGTGCGAACACATGGCGAAGCCCCAGCGAACCAACTCAGGAAGATGGCAGTAAGAAAAGGACAGTAAGTTTGTTGGGCGAACTTACAATGAATGTTCGTTATGGTGAAGGAGCAGCGAAGAGACGGGGAACTATCCTAGACCCAAGTCAGTAGCTAAAGGATCCTAAGTTCATTGTGCAAACTTGTAAGCGAGGTAGTTCGCAGTGTGAAGAATTGCTCGCACAGCAAACTTCAGATATTTCTCTAGGGCGCTTTAACTGTTCAGAGGCACTTCAGGTGCCAAAAAGGGAGTTCGATGGGCGAAGAAACCGTTCGCAGTGTGAGTGTGATAGATTCTAAAAGTACTATATAAGTCCTTTTCACTATTTTTGGGGATCATAATCCACTTTTACATCCTAGAACTTCATTTCTCAAATTTTCTTCACCAAAAGGTGAGTTTTTGCAAATAGAAGTTGGATTCGCATCCGAGTTCGATTCTTTGACGTGGATGCTCATTCATCTTCTTCCAAGACTTGTAAAGCAAGCTATCATGGTTATGGGTAACTAAATTCCTTTGTATCAAAGGTAGAAGTAGTCTACCATTAGTTTGTATGTATTTCTTTTTATTGGCCTTGTATGTGAATAAGTGATGATTAATATATGATGAATATTTTTGTTCTTAATGATCCATTCTTATTTTGTAAAATTCTAGGCATAGATTTGGTAAAACTTGACCTAAAATATTCATCTATCGATTTGTAGATTCGATAAATTGGTACATGGTTAATAGTTGCTTTATGTTGAACTTAAGGCTTACTATATTGATTGTTATATGGAGAAATCGTGTAACGATGAATACGGTATTTCTCACGACACCGCTCTAGACATAGACGGTGTTGAGAGAATGCGTGACGATATTAATTGGATCTGACTTCACATGCAAGATTGAAAGAATACGTATAAATTAGGGTAGACGAAAACTACTTTTGATATACTTTTTAACAAAAATATTTAGAATTTATAAGCTTTGCTACTAAACAAAATATGAAAATTTTATGAACAAAACTATGAAAATCCTTATTCTTGAAACGATAAACTGTTGAGGCAAGCATCAAAATATCTGTAATCCCTGTGGAGACGATAAGAAAAAACTCCTTTTAACTACGATTCGAATAGTCCCCCCAGAGGAGGGATCGAAACAATCAGCTACACGTAGCCACACCACCCTACGAAATTGGAACCATGATGATTAGAGTCATGGGATAGTGGGAAATGCACGTTTTCGAGGTGATGGTTGAAAGAAACGTCACAATGGTCATGACGTCAACCCACTAGGTGAATAGTATTTGAAAAGATTAAAAATGTTCATATCTCCTAGGTTCTTCGAAAGAGGCCTTTTTTGGGAGGAAATTTGTTAGCTGAGATTTTTGACAAAGGTAAAAATCTCAACACAGGACAAGAGCTGAAGGTACACTGATGACATGTACGTAGTAGGAGTCCTCGGTCGAAGAAGATTTGGGACTTAGTACATTTTGGAATGTTGTAAGAACATTTCGACCGCGTGAGTTTTCAACAGTGTCAAATACGTTGAAGAAGCGGTTATTTGAGCATGCAGATGTTACGTTCAAATATGAGTAACTACTTGTGGGTTTCTGTTTGAAGGACGCGTGGAAAGAGCGCAGAGACGGGTTACATGCAAGGTTTCACGTGGCGAATGCTGAAGATGGGAACGTTATATATAGGAATTCATTTATAGAATTTAGGGTGTTCATTTTACTATAAAATCTTATTGAAAACTTGAAGTAATAACGTCATCCTTTATTTTTAATGCAAAGTCTTCAAAATTCCTTTTATTTTTCTTTGCTTTCTTCATAAATTTATTTTCAGTCTCTTTCAAATACATTGTTTTACACTTTTAAGTCTCGTTATGTTCTTTACATTTTCAACATTGTCGAAGGCTACGCTTTTTACGTTCTTTTAGTCACTTTTTCGACCAAGTCGAAACCAAATTCTACATATAGAAAATTAAAACAATGTATTTTGGCACTATGTCCTGGGACTCAGTAGTCGATCATGTAAGTAATCTTTAATTAAGATATTAACGCTTGTTTATCAATTTTCTGTGTAAACAACGGCATATCCTCAATGTACTCAGGCACACTCGCCCAGCCAGCGATGCGCGAAAAGTGCTGGAGGATTCAAGCCTTAAATAAAAAAACATTAAAGATAGCTACATTGGTTTTGCAAATATGAAATGAAAATGACAAAAAACATTTAAAGATCAAGAATTATTACCACCAGTATTGTCACGCTGCCTGTGACTTATTTCGTCTTCCACATACATCCCTCTCTTAACTTCGAATATAGATAGACCAGGCAAGCCGCCCCCCAATTGTACTCATGGATTCGAGTGAGATCCAAGAAGTACCATAGGTAGGCAACGTCAGTATAAGTGGCAATCTTGTCCTCAAAAATCAAAGTGTCAACCAAAAAAAGAAAGTATGCTTTCAAAGCATGCGTCTTATGGAGCGTCACTTGCTCATCATCACCATGAGTTTGTTGTGCCTTCAGGATCTCAGCCTTATAAAGCTTCCCTAGGAACTAAAATCTAGCATGAACACCCCTGGTTCTATCTGTGTCCTCTACCGCCTGCCCTGGATCAGCCCTCAGATGTTCTACCATCATCTCGACTGCCTCGTTATTGGTCATCCTCGCATGATCTAGGAATTTTCCCCTAATCAGAAGAAGTAGCAAACACGAGACATCGTTTAGTGTGATAAATATCTCACCATGTGGGAGATGAAACGAAGAGGTATTTGAGTGTCATCTCTCCACAAATGCATTAAGCATCTAGTGGTTAGCTAGAGTGTAATTGTTCGTGCATAGGTCCTTCAGGTCAAATAAGGACAGAACTGATTGAAACCAATCCCCATTTGACTGAGGCAATGCAACAATATTTCTCCCGTGGTTAAGAAACTTCTAGGGATCACACTCTTGAAATTTATCAAAAATAATCAATGTCGAGAATATTCAATGTTAGAAATTATCAATTTCAGCAATTAAAATTAACACATAAAAAATAAAGAATTCAACTAATGTTACCTCTTCGTCTCAAATATGTCTGGCAGTATGGTCTGGATACAAAGGAATTAAGAAAAAATCAAATGGACCTCCTCCAAAAGCCTTTGGCTCGGCATCCTCAACAGCCTCACCATTCGGAGGTGGCACTGGATCAGCATCATCATCAGTGGGAGGTGGATCTCGATCATCAACAACATCCGTAGGAGGTGACACTGGTGAATCCTGACGCCAGCGGGAGGATAGGGAAGTGATGCATCAGATGGTTAATCTCGTTTCCTACGGGAAGAAGAAGGTCGAGTGGCTTGAGGTGAAGCACGAGCCCCGAAGTAGACGACGCTACGGAAGTAGACATCTTTGATTGACCATAGGTGCCTGGAGCCTCCAGAACCTGCAGGCTCCGCTCCCACCGAACAGATGTGTGCTGAGCAACCCTGTGATGTCTCAGTCTGTCAACTCTGTCAGCCATTATGCATATAAGGTAAAATAAGGTATATTATTAGTGCATACGAACAACACACAAGCAAGAAAATTTATTTTAAAAAAATACTGAAGGAAATTTCGGAGATGCTTCTCCGGAAGCACCATTAAACTAAAAAGTTGAAACATTCTGGAGATGCATATCTGGAAGCACCATTAAACTAAAACGTTGAACAATTCCAAAGATGTATCTCCGAAATGTGTTGCAACTCAGAAGTTGCGTCAATGACGAATGTATCACACGTAAGTTGACAAAAATATGATCTGGTCATGAATTTCAGTCAACAAACAAGTTATACACTATGTTTAAACTATGTTACATGCAATTTCTACACATTTCTAACTCTAATAATTGATTTCTACACATTTACACTAAAACTCAAAACTTACCAAAAACTCGAAAAATTCACTTGAAATTGATGGTTTTGATGAAGTTGGATGATGTTATAGATGAAGCTCGATGTTCCCTTGAATTTTGAAACTTGCTTACTGAAATTTGATTTGGTGTAGGGAAGTGTATTGAGAATTCGAAGTTGTGTTTGTTTGAAGAAAACTGTAAAATGAGGAAGGAGAAGAGTCTGACACAACTTATGCTCTAAAATATTCTAATATATTTCCAAAATATTTCAATGTTAACTAACATTTGGATGCATCCAGAGATATATCTTTGAAAACAATGAGGCATTTATAAAACTTTACATGGTGCAGTAAAAATACTAAGGATGCCTTAAAAAATTATCTTTCTTTCCTTTGTTAGCCAATGTCTCCTTCCTTACTAACAGGCGATTCCTATCAACACACCCTATGCGTATAGCTTTTGGCTTTAATTTTACTTTGGATGTGCATTATTTCTGCTACGAAGTTTGATAGCCGTGGGGCTGAATGTATATATGGCAGACGATTTGACACAGTTCTATAGGTTCTAAACAACATATAGCAATGTAGGTTCTTAAAGATATATGTAGGTTCTAGAGGAATTTAACAGTATTCAACCCCAAGAAAACGATAAAGTAACATTATTTTACTAAAAATAAGATACGGTAGCAGTAAGAAAGCTATAATTTCCATCCCAACATGGTAACAAACAAATAATAATGGACAGTGACTCAATCAAAAAATCAATGGGCATAGTAACACTTATATGCTCAAGCAGCATAAGAGTTCGTTAATACATTTACAAAAAAATGCTACTTTTCTCTAGTAGAATAAAAATGCTGCTTTTATGGAGCAGACATCATTCTCAGTATGGGGCAAACCCCCTGGAAAAAGAAAAAATAAATAAAACCACTCCTATGACGAAGTATTTCTCAATATTACCCGTTGAAAAGAGTAAAAGCCACTATTTCTCTAAAAGAGTAAAAGCCAAGGCAAGTTGGATGAAATCTGTGGAAAGAAATCCCAGAAGTAATGCCTGATTGTACGCAACCAAGAAAATCCAATCTAAAGCCACTATGATCTGAAGCAGGCAAGAACTGATTCATGACAGAGGCGCCAATACTCTTTGTAGGGCAGGGACATCCATGGCATTGGTGAAGGAAGAAGAGTTCCATGCATATATGGCATTCTGGCAATGAGGAAATAAAAGCAAAATTGAAAAAAGAAATGGAAAAGAGTAATTAAAAGAAAACAACTAAAGAATCACAAAAATTACAAGAGAAACTAGCACTAGCCGCTACAATATCTTACCTTTGCCCAATGAGAATTCCATAAGCTACTGTGGAGATGGATGACCCAGAAACTCCCAAAAATGCATTTCTGAAGTGAGGTAAGATAACTTTTCCTGAAATATAATCCATTGAAGTAAGCACGTAATGTTCTCCCATGCAAACATACAGCAGCGGCATATAATGCAAATTCATACTTCTCCCATATCAGTTATCACAATTGATATTTCATTCAAGCTTTCAAATTCATCTTCAATAAATGTTTGAAAATATCTACATATATGTTCCTTTTATCTCTGATATATGTTCATTTTCACAACAAAAAAGAAAAAACAAAACAAAACAAAACAAAAATATCACTGTCTGATTTACTATGACAGCTAATCAAGAATAATTCACAAAAATATTAGACCTTCAAATTCTTCAAGTAAAAGTAAAAGCCTGAGACATTAATAGAAAAGATCTACAGAGATGGAACATATTTACGGATTCACCAAATGATGTGTTAAATTCCATTACTTTACCAACATATAGACATATTTTGACAACCAAAAAGAAAAAACCAAATAGTAAGAACCAATCTGAACCCTTAAGTAATAGTTTCAGACCTCACCTATGCTCAAATAGTTGCTGTGGAGAATTGAAACCAATGTACTAGATTTTTCTCTATTGAAATCCTTTAGATGCAATGATCCCTTAGATGAGTTTATTTCATCAGTAAAATCCTGATTTGTAGAAGTGGTATGATTACTCTGACAACCAAAAATTTCAAGCCATATTCCACAAGGGAATCTTCCTGGTCTCATCAACCAAAGAAATATCTTGATATAAGGAGTAGCATGAATTACCGAAATAGCAACTTCAATAAGTATGCAGATGAGATTAATGGTCGTGTCAACAATACTAAAGAATATGTAGAAAACGGAAGTAGTTGGTAACAGAAGTAAAAGTGGTGTAAATAGAAGTGATCCAACAATATGTTGCTTCACAGTGTACTCAAAGCTATCCAACCTCTGGCGAAGAGGATTCCACTTCCGACCCCTGCCAAAACATTCAGCTACTTATAATTCAGAAATATAAGAAAGCAGACCAAGTATTATGCAAAATGTTTGTGCATTATAACAAATATTCTTTAAAAGGATACTGAATCGCAAATGAAGTAGTTCAGCAAATATGAAGGGATATAATGATCCACATTTCTATTGTAAATTATATTCATTTTTTACGAGTTCTTAACAGTAACAATAATTGCTTCTTGCTCCCTCAACTCACTGTCAGTGTTTTCAGACATGTACTAGTTTAACAAATAAATTATTAGCTACATACCATATTAAAAAGGACAAATATGACATACGAGACCAGGAAATATTCAAAACAAATAGTGCTAGGTCTCAACTCACTGTCACTGTTCTTATTTAGGTGAGTATAATATGTCTCTGCACCTTGTAATTGTTCCTAAACAAATAGGTTCACAGCTTGTAAAATTTACAAAACAAACTATATATACAATACTAGAATGTTCCATTTATGGAACAAATGCCAAATTATGATGTTCATATCTCATTCAAATCAATGCCTTACTTTCAGCCTATCTTGTCAAAGAGAACCAATAATTTGTTACTCCCCCCACCCCATCTCATTATAAGTGTCTCTTTTGCAATATTTATGTCTCAAATTATGTCACTTAAGAATACCAAGATAATATTTATTAATTTTTTCCATTAAAATACTCTTATTTATTGTATCAATCCATCTAATCATTTTATCACTGAAATCGACATAACTAATCATTTTCTTAAAAATTGTGAACTTAAATGAGACACAAAAAATGAGGAGGAGGAAGTACCTAAAAAGCCGCCACAAAGCTGCTAGTGCCTGTATTTGTGATGAATATATAAGTGAAATAAACCAATGAAGAGTTGAAACATGTAAGGTTCCCAACACAATCATGTCTATGATCAAAGAAGCAGGTATAGTAAATCCACAAAGAATTCCTAATATAGAAAGTCCTCGAATAAAATATTTGAAGATGAAACACACAAAGATCCAGAGTGTTGACCATACTTGGATTGCATTCAAAGAAAGTAAACCAAGTACACCTGCCAGTTCGGCATTCAATTTGAAGCCTGCGGGGTTTCCCATTAACCAAACACACCCGGAGCGCAAAAAAGTGGCAAACCAATGGATAAAGTTCAAACCCGACAAGCAAATTGATTCTTCATGATATAGCAGTGACCAGCCAACCAAGTTTCCTAGGAGAATATCAACGGCCAAAGATGACCACATAGAATGTCTATGCATTGCAGCTTTCTCTGCATATTCAACACATGTTTGAGACCTAGCATGCAAGAAAAGTGTTAAACATGGAGAAATATTCAATCAATATCAAAAATCACAGATTGTAAAGAATAGTGAATAATTGAACAGCAAAGAAAAACTAAAGCATTTAACTTTAGAACTGAAATTTATGTTACATAAAAGAGGACAAGATACTAAGTGATAAAAACAAAATGTCAAATATCATTTTCAACTTCAACCAGATAAAAATTGTTTCAAAGTTATCATTAGAGTATTATTGAAAACTAGGGTGTTCCTGGTCAAGTTCAGTTTGGTAACTTGTTATGCTCAGTTGCAAACTTTACCTTTCTTCAAAGCTCACAAATTTAAAAAACCAGACCGAACCACATGTTCTCAAGGAATTACATGAATAAAAGCACTATTCAAGGATTGTTAGATTTAAACCATAGTTGATTGGTGTTTCTAGTCACACGAATATCTTATTATTTCTTAATACAGTCAAAAGCCACTATCCGTACAAAGAATGATTTTAACAAATAAACATAAGTGTAATATTTCAATGTAAATAAGCAACATCCTGCAAGCAACTCCAATATAGTATTTGTAATATAAATAAAAAGAGATGACAGTGGGAAAAGCAGAGTGGAACAAGCCAACAAGGGAAGAAGTAGACCTGGAGGGAGAAAACATAATAACATTGCTCAATTCAATCACAGATTCAAATCAATAAATATCCCATTATGTAACAATCCTGAAGTAGGCAAAAACCCAACTTGACAGACAATTAGACGACTATCCTAAATTTCTAAAAACCTAAAAATAACACGATTTTATAAAAATACTTCATCCAAAAGACACTGAAAGTCAAAAAATTACAATAGATTTTTAATACATATGTATACGCTGCACTTAAATGTGTAAATACCATTATTCTATATTATGCTATTCTAATCCCATATCATGTGAAATTTCTATATACAACATTATTGAGCCCATATGGTTCAAATCTAACCTTTCAAATTTATTTTGGGTAAAACAGTACAGTAAAGAAGCTGAACTGAATCACAGTTGGATTTCCTTTAACCATGTTAGTTTGATTTGTTTTCTTGAACACCCTTACCAAAATATCTCCTTTATATGAAACTAAAGTGTATGAACTTCATACATTTACACGTCTGTCCAAATTATGAAACAGGCCACAAATCAGATAGCTCATTAATATTTTACCAAAAAAAATCATATTACCTATGGTCATTCTCCTGAAGAAGAATTGGCCAATACAATATCTGACAACAACGGATTCGGATATTTATCCATGCCGTCTTCTTGAATACATTTTCTGATGTCACATACAACCATGATTCTGATTCATGATTAAAATGTGATTGGAAAAACTGAAGAACAATATAGAACATGGTGGAGAACGAAGCCAAAAACTTGCAAAACAGATGCCCTATGAGAACCAAAAACCTGAAAAATCACAAAATCGTCAAAGCTTGAATAAGAGAGCAGGAGATAGTGCATTGGTATTTGAAGTGTGTACATTGGAAATAGGGATACTTGGCCCAAGGATCTTCTTGGGACCACATGTCTGTCAAATATTCTTTTAGCAGCAGATGTGCAATTAATTGCCAGAATAACTGTATCCTGGGGAGAAATTGAAAAGGCACATTAGCATATAGGACAAAATCTGCATACACAAATATGAATAAGGCAAACATTATTACCAAATCAGTGATTTTCTGCTTTTTATGAAGCCCATCAACCCACTTAGGATTCTTAATGGGACCTTTGGCTTGCTCAGTTGAACCAAAATGACACAATGAGAAATGATGAGCACCATAAGAAGGTGTTTCATAAACTATTACCTACAATTGATCAAATATGATACATCTCTGTTAGAAATGGAAAAGATTTTGACAACAGCTACAAGCGGAAAGGCAAGAAGTAAAAGAAGAAATTGTGACTTACATACGTGAACATCATATTCTGACAGAGTTAGTCCATTGCAATGAATGTGGTGCAATTTAGGAAGCCTGTAAATTCCTACATCATTCTGTTCAGAAGAATCAAACATCAGCACGACCCAATTACTTTTTCCAATAAAAGATTGGGTACTTTTCCTCAATGACCCATCTAATTGGAGGAAACTGCAACTCCTACAGTTATTATTTCTGTGTACACTTGTACTTCCCTCTGCCGATCCATTGCCACAACCAGAGAACTTTTTTTTATCAGCTTTTGCTTCAGCTGTCAAACTATTGCTAGTACTGTCAGTAATACACAGACCAAGTACAGAAAACACAGACCTATCCTGAAGAATTGCGGGCATGCTCCCATGTATGTCATGAATGATCCCCTGATAGAGAGCAACAGTTCATAATGTTAGTTATTTTCTTTACACCAGATTATTTCAGAAACCATATAGGATAACTTGTATGGAAGAACCATTAGAAGACTTAACAGCAGGATTTATCCCACAACTACCACAAATGTGAAGCAGTCAACGAACCAATATTTCTATGACTAACAAAAAAATTAGTTATACAGCATTTCATGTAGGAATTGATCCCAAGAGCCCATCCTAATCAATTTCTTGTCCCATCAAACAGTATCAATTTTTCCCAACAAATTTCCAATAAGCTGGCATAAATTACATTTATACCTTATATTTAGGTGGCAATCTTTCAAGATTCAAGAAAATGATACCTTACTGAATATCCTAAAAGAGAAAAATTTAATATTTATTCAAACATGACAACTCTTGCAAGATCTTGTCTAACATAAAATTTATTAATATCACAAAAAAGGAAACCAAATTTTCCTCAGCAATTAATGGCTGCAAAAAAGAAAGACATCTAATCACTTCATTACCGCGATTGTTATTTCAGCTGTTTCACTCTAAACTGCATGTAAGAGATTGTGAAGTCGAATATATTAATATTGGTATACCTCAATGGCAGGAGTAGAACTTGAAAGCAAAACCTCACTACAAGTAAAGGCTACAACAATGTCAAGGGATGACGGTGAGCAGGTGACAAACCACCCCAATAAAATACTGGAGGAGGATTCTTGGTTTGATAAGAGCTGCCTTGGCCACCAAAGTCTACAATGTTTTTTCATCTTCATCTTATGATCTTCATGTAAACTAAACTACTAATCATTAAATCCCTGCACTAGCAGAAAAAGCATGAATTCACTTGATTATAAATTCTCAGATAAAATATTGATGCAAAATAAAAACAAGAAAATTTACATGGAAAAATAATAAGACAGAATTCCAATCTTCATAGAATTAAAAAACATATAAACAACCAATCTACATGCTTATATACTACGTATTCTCCAATCAATACGTTTCCATTTTAAAACCAACGTCAGTTTAATTTGCAGGATATGTGATCGTTAGAGTGCTCTGATTGAACTTGATCTTAATTATTTTTTAAAATTATTGCGTAGCATTTTTCTTAAAAAACTAAGTTCATTTGAGAGTACATTCAGATGTTATTACTATCTCACAGAATAAGCTATGATATTTGTTACTTAAAATTAAACACACTCTCAGAAAAAGAGGTCAAAATGTTTCCATAGCTATTCAACAGCATATACATCCAAATCCAAATAACCTAATGCGTGTTAACCTTCTTTTGATATAATATAACTATAACCAATCAATAAAAAAAACAGCATAATTATAAACCTATCAGTTTCTAATTACATTAAAGTGTCATCAATTCCTAATTAAAACATAGTTAACTAAAAAAAAAGAATAATTGTACAGAACTAGGGTAATTACTGAAGCTGTGTTAGTTAAAACTCAGACCAAGAATCGGCAATTTTCCTAGTTAGGGTTTGGAGATTCATAATTGAAGTCAATAGTAGCGAAGCAAGAGGATATGCATTTCCCACTACTCATGGATGAACCTTAAAAACAGAAAGAAAAGGCAAAATCTCGATAACATCGACTATACGGAGAGGAGAGAGATTAGCTGCGAATACGTACCGATGTGGAGGTAATAGGCGGCGGAGGTGGCAAAGCAACGATCGACGGCGCAGGAGGAGATGACGTGCGAAGAGCGACTAGAGCGAGGGTGAGTGAGAGTGTAAGAGACGAACACTCAAAGACACAGGTGAAAAACTGAAAATAAAAAGCTAAGCGAGTGTGCTGTCAAAATGGTATTTATTTTACTTTTTGCATTTCAAGTTTTATATAGAATTAATTATATAGTTTTCCTCTCCACATTTTAGGTTGTTCATCCTTCTATTTTAAAATAAAAGTTTTCATCTTCACTCATATTTGTTGGATTATGTTTTTATTTTTACACATGTCAAGATTTTGTAAAATCTATTCTATAAAAAGATTAATGATTGTGAAAAAGATCTTGATATCTTTGCTAATCAACCAAATTGACATGTGTTATTTTTCAATTTTGCCTCTTCCAATCTTTTCTGACTCATCTTCTTCTTCCTGTCTTTTTCACTCATAATTCTGTCTTAGAAAATCTTTATATCCTGTCTTTTTTCACTCATAATTCTGTCTTAGAAAATCTTTATAATAGATTTTTAGTTTTTTTCAAATCTTTTCTTTTACTTTCTTCCATCATACTTTCTGCTATCAAATCAAACATGTCTACTCATTGATATCTCGGCTTCTTCTTCCTGTCTTTTTTGCTCATAACTCTGTCTTAGAAAATCTTTATAATAGATTTTTACTTTTTTCCAAATCTTTTCTTTTACTTTCTTCCATCATATTTCCTGCTTTCAAATCAAACATGTCTACTCACTGATATCTCATTATTTGCTTGTTCAGATCTTTTCTTTATCGATGAACTTCTTCCTTCATTTTTAATTTCAACCCTTTTTCCATTTCATTTGCTTTCTCTCATCTCTCTCATCCATTAAATCTCATTTGATTCATCTCTCAGATCTCAATCAATTTTTCTTCTTCTGCAAAACCTAATCTTTTGCATCTCTCACTGATTCATTTTTCGAATTTGTTTTTTTGAAACCCTTTTAATCAAAATTATTTAATTTCTTTATTTTGCAGATGAGTATGTTTCCTTGGAGATGTAAATCAGATATGCAAAACTTTCCTATAAGAGTTTTGAATCTTGTCTGTGATGAATTTTGTATTGTAATCCTTTTCTTCAAAATTGTGATTTTTATATTTATGTGTAATCTCTCACTTCTCTCTTCATCTTTTGCATGTTTGTTCTCTCAAATCCTTCATCTCTCTTCTGCTTCTTCACCTCTTCTTCTTTTTCTATCAATCTTTTTCTTCTTTTCTTTTGCATATATGTTTTGTATGTTTGATTATTGAATTCATTTTTTTTTTTTCATAAATATCGTACATTTCATGGTTTTTAGTGTTGTTTTTCCGTGTTTAGATGGTTTTCAGAATTTTTGAAACATTTCAATGATTTTCGCCTAACGTGAAGAATTTCAGTAAGGATTTTTTTCTTAACAATCTTAACTTTCAATTTTATGCTTTTTCACAACTTCGCAGAAGGAGATGATTGTCAAAGATGTTGATTCACGAAAAATGAGTCGGCGCACAGTAAGAATATTCTTGGAAGATTTTGGATATGTGAGTTTTGAGGAGGGATAAGTGATCGATGACGTGGTTCGGTACATATATTCACTATGTTTCACTTCGAATGGCATCCAAGCATCTCATAGGTATGTTCTTTGAATTATACTAACGAGCTCATTTGTATTTTAGAGAATGTTAGAGCACCTCCAATGGTGCAACCCATTTTTAGGTTCTTTGGGGACCCATTCTTTTAAAGCAACTCATTCAATTTTCACTCCAATGGTGCAACTCCAAAGAACCCATATTGGGTCCCACCACTTTACTTAAAATATATTATTTATATTAAATTTATTTTATTTAAAATTATAATTTAAATATTTAAATTTTAATTAATATAAATACAAATTAAACATAATAAATAAAATTAAACATAAAATTGAAAATAATAAATAATAAATAAAAAGAGTTAAAATAAATTGAAAATAATAAATTAAAATTAAACATAAAATTGAAAACTTAAACATACAATTTTTCCAACAAACCTATATTTATAATAAATAAAAAAGTTTAAAAAATAAAATAAGTCGTTGCACAACGGCTAAATGATTATTTTAATAATTAAAAAAAATGAAGAACCATTGCTTATGTTTGTAACGTTCACCAGCTTGAACAACTTTTTGTTGACAATTTCAATGCCAAGCTGGCAAACCAATTTGAAAAACCACCGTTGGAGGTGGTCTTACATACTCCCAAAAAGACAAATATGTTTAGAATATGGATTGTTGGATAAACTTGTGTTTGTTTGTTTAGGTTTTTTATTTTTGCAGATCTTTGTCATTTTTTATCTTCAAATCTATCAATCTTAAAAGCGGAAAGAAATGAAGTATTGCTCGACTAAAGTATTTACTGTCAAGGTTTGTTATGTGGAGCCACTTACTCATCACATGTTTGATTGATTTATATAATTGAGGTTGTACTTAATGGAAACATTTCACTTACATTATTTAACATTTGCGTAGCAGCTAGATCGGTGCATGTCCATGTAGTGGAAATCTCTGGTTCATATTCACTTTGTGATTGTATAAACAAAATGCAAAGGGTACAAAAATTTAGTCTGCTGAAAAATTTTGTCATATTTTCTTTTTTTTCTATCATTTATTAATAGTTTTCTTTCTTATCTATCAGATGTACATATCAAGTGATTCATGATTAAGGTTGGTCTTTTGTAGGTTACACATCTCTAACTTGCTTATTTTGTCTCTCAATTCATCTGATTTCCTCTTATTTTTAATTTGATAATTGCCTCAATGATGATTGTGATAGGGTTGTTGTTGTTGTTGTTGTTTTGATGAGATTGAGATTTTGGTCTTTAGGCAACCATCTTTGATCATATTGTTTTTTATGATTGTACTAACATAAATGTTCATCATTGTTGTGTGTTTTTTATCGTTTTGATTTTTGGATTGAACTTTGATTTTGGTGTTTTTATTAGGATTACGAGGATCTTGCAATAATGAAGGTGATGTTAATGTAACGTTGTGAAAATGATTCTAGGTTGGTTTACTTTAAATCATAACCATATGCTTATTTTCTCAACGTTTGTTATGTGGAGTCACTTACTCATCACATGTTTGATTGATTTATATAATTGTTTGTACTTAATGGAAACATTTCACTTACATTATTTAACATTTGCGTAGCATCTGGATCAGTGCATGTCCATGTAATGGAAATCTCTGGTTTATATTCACTTTATGATTGTATAAACAAAATGCAAAGGGTACAAAAATTTAGTCTACTGAAAATTTTTGTCATATTTTCCTTTTTCTATCTTTTATTAATAATTATCTTTCTTATCTATCCGATGTTCATATCAAGTGATTCCTGGTTAAGGTTGGTCTTTTGTAGGTTACACATCTCTAACTTGCTTATTTTGTCTCTCAATTCATTTGGTTTCCTCTTATTTTTAATTTGATAATTGCCTCAATGATGATTGTGATGGGGTTATTGTTGTTTTGATGAGATTGGGATTTTGGTCTTTAGGCAACCATCTTAATCATATTGTTTTTTATGATTATATTAACAGAAATGTTCATCATTGTTGTGTTTATTTTATCGTTTTGGTTTTTGGATTGAACTTTGATTTTGGTGTTTTTGTTAGGATTACGAGGATCAAACAATAATGAAGGCAATGTTAATGTAACGCTGTGAAAATGATTATAAGTTGGTTTACTTTAAATCATAACCATATGCTCATTTTTTCAACATTTGTTACGTGGAGTCACTTACTCATCACATGTTGGATTTATTTATATAATTGAGGTGGTACTTAATAGAAACATTTCACTTACATTATTTAACATTTGCGTAGCAGCTGGATCGGTGCATGTCCATGTAGTGGAAATCTCAGGTTCATATTTACTTTATGATTGTATAAATAAAATGCAAATGGTGCAAATATTTAGTCTGCTAAAAAATTTGTCATAAATTAGGAGATTGTTAGAGAAAATATATATTTACGGAAATAAGTGAAATACTGAAACGAAGAAATAATAAACTTTCTTGGATAAATAATTTTGTCTTTCTATCCATTTTT